TCTATAATTCTAAAAGATACTGAAAACTTTAAAAAATCAATCATTAACTGAACTAGAAAATATGAAACACCTTTACTTACCACAAATCGCATCACCACAGCAGGAAGTGTTTATCAAAACTGCATTGGGGCCACAGAGGGGAGCTGGCTTAGGAGGTGGTGGAAAGCACTCTTCAGTCATAGTCTGGTTGTTACATCTACACAGTTTGCAGTTGGACTGCCAGACTTCACCAGGCTGAAACACACATACAGAAATATTTGTAAATCTACACTCAGATCTAATACTAATACGCTTAAATTATTTGAGCTAAACTGTTGATTACAGAATGTGTCACATAACAGCAGCATCCCTGTGGAAAATTGTAGCTTTTACTTACAAGTTTAGGTTCTCCACTTGGTCCTTTGCAATCTTTAGGGAAAAAAGAAAGAAAATCCTTTATTTATCTTCCTGTAAAAGACTTCAAACAAAAATTGTCTAGGTGTCATTGTCATCATCTTAGGCTATACAACTTACAGGAACAAACAGGCAAACAGATGTTTGAGTGATTTCCTGCTCTGGTCAGGTTGCTGGGACAGAAACAACCTGTGCTTTTTTTTTCAAGCAAAGCTCCTGGATAGCGCACGCTAAAAAGCCGGAGAAAAGCATGAAAATGGTGTAAATCTTCAGAATAGTATATGAAGGAAAGACATGTGGAAATTACAAGGTGCAATCAGAAAACAGCTTCCCCAATAAAAATCTAAACATATCTCATTTCAGTGTGGCCAGTAATTTCTTTGAGCAGTAATGTACTACTTCTTGATAGCTTTGGTTCTTAGACAGCTGGGTGGGAGTAACAATATGACCAGTTGCACTGGATTTGCTCTATTGGTGACCATTTAGCTTGAACTTTATTTTGGTGGAAGAGGATGAAGACATAAGGAGTCTAATCTTAAAGAAGAAGGTGGTTGGTGAGTGAAGATTGTGTTGGGATGGCCAACAAACACATTGTTTCAATGCACCAGACGTGAAGCTGCCAGACACACCAAATTTCATAAGGTATCCCTTAAATGAGATTCCTCAGAAAATTATAGTAAAACTCAGCCTTGAAAATCTTAGGTTGATTAAATTCATGGTGCGAAACTCCACTGATTGTCAAACAAGACAGTGAGGTCACATTCAGAACCCAGTGCATTCAAGCATTTACACTCTGGACTCTTAAAAAGTGCTGTTTGGCTCCTTGACATAAAAATTATTCCAGTTTGACACAGAAGTTAATGCAAGTGGTAAAACTAGTCTAAACCAAGCCTCCCAGGAGGCTTTCCTGATGTGCCTTGGAGAAGACCACAAAGAGATCAGTCTTATATGACCAAGCTGATTAACTTTTTATCTGCATCACACCAAAAGTAAAGTTTCCTAACCCTCCATAGCAGAAGTCATCCAACTTTGTGCTGCATTCTCTGTAAACCAATCCTTCTGGACATGGCACATCTGAAACACGATCAAGGATACTGACATTAATAATACATCAATTTAAATTAGAACTTGCAAAGAAAGCAAATTTATTCATAAATCACTTAATTTCTAGCTTTACTGGTTTGCCATGTTAATTGTAAGACAAAAAAAAAGACGATGCATACCACAGGTTCCATTAGTCAGTCCTCTCCAGTCAATACAGAAACCAAAGCTTTTACATTCTCCTGCAGCTTGCTCCAGAGATGAGCAAGAACCATTTAGGTTCCTGCATGAATCAAACTCACAGTTCTTCTTTTTAAGGTTTAGATCCACGTAGTTGCTGCAGTTTTCAAAGACACTGGAGAAATTGAAACAAAGTGAATTTTAGAATATTTGCTGAAATTATACACAAAGAGACAGAGAGCCACACACTATTACAATTAATAATCAAAATAAAGCAGTATATAACATGTACATTTATCATGAAGTACACTTGAAGCAGTTTTAACACAACAAATCCATGATTAGTAGGCTACATTCATGTGTGGACCTTACGGGTGGAGTAGAAGTTCACATAATGGGTTTGGAGGGCAGGGAGGCGGAGGTGGGGGAGGAGGTACTGAGGTTGGCCCAGGAAGACAGGGTACATCCCTTGGTGCAGAATTACAGGCAGGCTTCAGAGGATCTGGATACACCCAGTCATAGGCCGTCTTATCACAGCAGCTGTCATCCTCAATCTGCCCTCCTTTACGAATACACGATGCTCCACCACACACACCTGGAGGGAGAATTGATAAGTGAGCTCTGATAAGCTTATACTTCTAACACACTTCTAGCACTCCATCCAGTACTCACCGCATTGTCCCTGGGTGTTATTGACGAAATGCTCCATGGCCAGGTTCACAACCAGGGTATAGGATGGAGTGAGGGAGACATAAGAACGAATCTCTGGGAGATGAATTGACACCATGTACCCCGTGGTCTCAAATCTAAAACCATTCTCCTCATATGGTGGTTGGACTGTCACATTGTTCAGTGTAGCCTAAAGTATAATAACATTATCATCAAAATTAACTGTCTTTCCAGTGAGTATTCTCAGTTACAAACTGCTGTATAATTACTGAATATGGATGCATGATGAAATCCTACCTGTACTACAAACAATTGTGTGTTGATGTTGAGCGCAGCTACATTGTTTTGATATTTCAGAATGAGTCCTTTGGCACAGGAGCCTTGCAGGCCAGGCACGCAATAAAAGTTGTCCACAGCAATGGTCAGATTATGACGTGGTGACTGCTCCTCCACCAAGATGTAGGAGCACTGATCCAAGAAATCAAAGGGTATTCCTTGGAAAGAAACATAGTGGGGATCCCCAAACAGCTCACAGTGACCTGGGAATGGATAAAAACACAATTTGGATTTCAGCTAAAAATAAGAATCTGTCAAAATGCCAACCTGAGCCAGCTGCACAACTCTAATAATGACATTCTGGGTTAGTCAGTCAGTGGTATGGTCACTTACAGTCACATTTCCATGTTTCACAGCATCCATCCGAGACCTTTACGGCCCGTTCTCTGGGACAGGGCAGAGCTGTAGACTTTGGGCAAACCACTGGGGTCAACTCTATCTTTCCACCAACACAGTGCTTATCAAAGCAGTCCTCTGACCATGTCTCCCCACAAATCCAGCTTTTTTTACTCTTCAGGTCTACACATCTACAGACTGGTGCTGTGGCAGAAAACAGGGTACACAAAAATACAGAAACATTGATTAGGTTATTCTCGTGAATGACTACTATGATCATAATAAATGAAAATGTCTGGTTGGTAGTTAGTTAGGTGGTTGTAGACATAGTAAATATTGTGGGAGCTTCTGTGCTGGTAGCAGTCATACCTGACGTTACAGTAGTTGTTGCATTGGTTGCAAACGTGCTTGTTGGCCGAAGTGTTCCAAATGTTGTGGGAAATACTGCCAGAGATATAATATCGTTTAGGTTACTCACATAAACGACTGCTATGATGATGAATGAACAGTGCAAAACAGATACATAACATTTACCTTGGGAGTTGTTCTGAGGTGGTGTTGTTGTGATTGGGGGTCCTGTGTTAATTTCGGGTGTGGATTCTGTATTAATAGATGAAAATGTTGTGGTGCCTACTGAAGTGCTATGGTTTCCCATTGTTGTAGCACCTGTTTCTGTTATTTCTGTTTGTCCAGACGTTGTCACAGTATTAGTTATCAGTGGCGACGTAGATTTAGATGTTGTTGATTCAGAGTGGGAGGTAGTAGGTTGGGTGGTTGTAGTAAATACAGTGGGAACTTCTGTGCTTATTGCTGTCAGACCTGAGGTTACAGCAGATGTAGAATTGGTTGCAAAGGTGCTGGTGGACTGAAGTGTAGTGACTGTTGGCTGCGTATGTTTTGTCGATGGTGGAGGTGTTGAGACATATGTTGATATAACTGTGTTTGTCGGCTCTGATTCTGTGGCCCGTGTTGTTGAAGCATTAAGGAATGAAGTACTTGTAGGTAGGTAAGAGGTTGAAAGTACTGTACTAGCAGATTCAGTGGGAGTCTCTGTTATAGACTCTGTTACTGTTGTAGGGTGTGTCGAGTGAGTTGTGGATGTTGAAGAAGTTGACAGTGATGTGGAGAGTGTGCTGATAGTAGCTGTAGTTGTGTTAGCTTCTGTAGGGGCTATTGAGGTAATGGTGGTAGGTAAAGTAGTTGTTGGTTTAGTGGTGTAAAATTCAAATGACCGATTGTTACCGGTCACTGGATCACTGGTAAAAGTCACCATTGTTGTAGCAGTGGTGGTGGACCCTGTGGTTCCAGTTGTAGTTTTAGTAGTTGCTGCAGATGTAGTAGTGGGCATTCTTGACCATGTTTCGCTGGTACTTGAAGTAGTCATAGTGTTTGGTTCAGAGGTGGTGGGGGACCATGTTACAGTAGTAGTTGAAGTAGCTGTAGTTGTTGGCACAGGAGTTGTTAATACAGCAGAAGTGGAGGGCATTGTTGACCATGTTTTACTAGTAGATGAAGTTAGTAGAGAGGTAGCAGTGGGTGTCGACCATGTTTCAGGGGTAGTTGAGACTGTGGTAGTGGTAATCACTGGTGTAGTAGTAGTAGTAGTAGTAGTAGTAGTTGTTGTTTCACTTGTAGTTGAAGCAGTTGTTTTGAGAGATGTTATTAGTGTGGTGGTAGTTGTGGGCGGAAGTGCTGTTGAAGTAAAATTGATAATAAGTGCAATTATTAAAAGAAGGATCCATAAAAGCACATATTATTTAAAGAAAATGATAATAAATTTCAATAATATTTCCTTGTATTCTCTATCATTACATTACATATGTTTGCCTTCACTAACGTTTTTAACCCATTATCACTCCCAACTCCTCACATGTAGACACAATTGATCCCATACACATCACAGTTTAACATGCTAGGTATTACTTTGTATTTCAGCATAGAAGATAATTTGATAGATTTAAATAGTAGTCGCACAATGTCTGAAATAGAGACAAATTTTCTCTGCTGGTTTGTAATGTAATGTCACTCATGGTTACCAAGGAAATGGTGACAAATCTAGTTGAAGATGAAAATCAAAATTCTCTTTTCAAAATGTGGATAACATGTTTTTCTACAACTAGCCAAGGTATGTTGCTCCCTATGCTTTTACTATCTCTTAGCCCTGATTGGTCAGGAGTCCTGAACAAGCACCAATATGTTGTGAGTTAGAATTGAAAATGAATTGTTTTATCGGCCACGTATAGTACACACATGAATGTATTTTTTATACTTACGGCATTTAATTGTTCCATTTTCACAGGAGCTGAATAAAATAGGAGAGTAAGAAATAACCAGCCGTCAGTGTAACTAACAACACAACTTCATGACAATTGCATGGAAAATGTAGATATTTGCATGCCATATATATTGTGAATGTGTCAACTTACCATTCAAAAGAGTTTATTTTCACCACTTGTCCAGGTCGTACAGTCGTGTCATTAAAATAACAAGAGCAGTTCCTCAATGTGGTACAATCACCAGTATTCTCATCATAGTATGGCTTTTCCTTTGGACATCTGGGGTAGCAGCCTTTTCCAAAAAGTAAATATACTCAGTCGTTTGTGCAAGCTGAACTTTAACATGTTAGACTATAACTGAGAAACATTGGTTACCTTCCAGCTTCTGAGTGAAGTCTTTGCCACAGGTCAGAATCCTACCACAGGCTTCATAATGCCAGCTACACTGGCCCTTTTCATTGTAGTAGTCACAGTAGACAGCTAAGATGTAAATGATCACAGTTTATGTTTTGTTGTATTCAGTGTTTTGTAACCTTCAAAAAACATTGATCGCATCATGCAGAGTGTTGTACATATCCTTTGATAGTGCCATATCTATTGTCGCTCATGATTATATTGACAATAACTAAAATACAATAAAATAAAACTGAATTTAACATTAAGCAATGCAGGGTGTGTGTTGGCAAGAACTGAAGCACAGAAAAGAATTTATATAAGCTGGACTGATGATTGGCTGACGACATGCACACCTTATGTGGGGGAAAAGCTTAAAACGTACGGCACATATCAGGCGTCCTCCAATCTATGCAGACGTCCTGGTCACTGCAGGCCTCTGCATAAGCTGCCACAGCTGTGCAGAAACCCAGGAATTTCCCTTCAAACTCACAAGAGCAGGATTCCTGCACACAGGCATGGTAGTAGGGCTCTGGATCCACCTGAGGATCAGTAAACATCAGAGTTGGGAAGTACCTGACTGCAAGTTGTACTTCAATCACAACAAAAATGCAGATGTAATGTTTAACTTTTACTGGCATTAAAATCAGCACAAAAACTTTCATCACGTGGCTTTCCATGGTTATTGTAATGTGTGGGTGGCTCAGAACCTTTATCCACAAAGTATATTATAAATTCTTGTGAAAAGTTTATGTGCATAATAACATGCCTTTTTAAGGGGCATGTTTTGGAACAAATTTCAATGCAACACCATCAAAGGCTGGATGCTGATGGCTTAAAGGTCTAGACAAGCTCCTTTTTGTTCACAGTTTGTTGATGTTGAGCATTGTTTTTTAATTTGCGCTCCCTTTCATCTACTAGTTTTCATTGCCCTAAGCAGTGCTTCTGGATATCCATGTGCACCAAAGTGGTTTTCCTTGCTGCACCTAGAAATGCCTTTTAAGTCTAGGAACTCAAAAATTATTATAATGTTTGCATTACAATTGTTATCAAAAAGCTGTGGAGGAGGGTTTTTTCTCTTTTTTTGCCCAGTTTACAGATATTTGTTAGGTAAGTAAAAGCAAGAAATGTTATTTAGGTTAATCAAATTAGGTTAATCAAAAATTTATAAGAGAAACTGTAATCTAATACATTTTGACAGCAACACTGGTATCAAATTTTCACCGTATACAAAATAAAAGTCCCAATCCTCTCTTTGCGACTCTGCTTAAAAAGTAGTTATTTTTAAGCAAGCACAAGCAACTTGTGTGCAATGTGAAGAACATACTTTCAAGTGACAGTCTTTGAAGGTGCCTCCTTTAAGGATCATACAGCGCCTCTGGGCCCAGGCCGAGCAGTAGGAATTGCGTTCACATGGAAATATCTCAGTGGTCACATCAGTACAAGGGGGAGTTGCTGCCTTCCAGCTGTTGCCAAAGGCCATTGGACTAGAAACCACTAAGAACAGAGTTTTGTTTTTAGTTTGAGTGTCACAGGTAAAGTGTTGGTGTCACTGCAAAGACACCACCCCTAGCAAAAAAAGGAGAAAAAAATGACTGGTTTACCTGCTGAGCCACTGATCTGCAAGTCATTCAGCTCATTGGAGTCAAAATTCCCACAGAGGCCACACACTCTGTTCTACAGGTGAGACGGTTTGAAAAAGAAAATGAGTATAAAAAGTACACAGTGGATATGTTATTAATTCAGTTCTGCATTTTTGAATTCTACTTCTCTCCTTTTCAAGCTTTATAGTGAGGATAACAGTTAACAGATAACATAACTACTACACAAGAATGGTCACGTTTAAAATCCTTCTTAGCATTTTTATTACTCACCCTCCAGTCTGGATGAAGTTCTACGGTGATCCGGGTGTGTTTGTCCCATATTAGAGTTAGACCTTTGCTGGGCACTGAGATTATGATATAGAGTCCCACTGTGTGTATTGTGTAAAGTGGATCTTGTTGCAAAGTCCAGCCTTTTTGGATTTGCTTGGTCACTCTCATGTCATTCAGGATAAGGGTGACTTTGCTCTGGAAGAGCAAGATAGAAGAACAAGATAAGGGATTAGTTTACTGGTATATGGGCAGCTACCTCATAATGCACACCATTAATTCTGCAGCAAGTTATGTTCCATGATTCAGGAACGACTTGAGTAAATAACCATCCTTTGACTGAGGTTGATCATTTCCAAGTAAGACAAAAAATACACTAATAAAAACTAGTATAACATGACCACCAAATAAAGGTCAAGGAATATTTAGGGATAGAGCCACTTACCTGTAAGTCCAGTATGATGGAGCGTGAACAGGTGAGTGCCTCATCACAGCAGGGCACACTCTCCACTCGGAGAGAAAAGGTGCCGTTTTGACTTCTGCAGTAATCCTGAAATCGAAAAGCATGGTTAAAACTTCTTTATTATATGTCAAAAATCATGCATTTTGTTGTAGTTATGAACAAATGTTTACCATCATGAGTGAAAGTCAACAACTACAGTTTTTGTAATAGATAGACAGAGAGAGAGAGAGAGAGAGAGAGACCTGGACTTTGTGAAAGTGTATGACTTATATCTCCTACATCATGAATCTGCAACTTTAAAAATAGAATTTACATATCTACATTATATATAAATTTTATATCATGCATCTGAACACATTCATGTTTTGTGATTTTTCTGGCTCTCACCTCTACAAGTGTATACTGGCAGTGACCACCAAAGCGATACCATTTAGCGTCAAAGGTCTGATAATGTCCATTTCCATAGACTTGACATGTCCCGGGACACGGCTCGTCTTTGCAGTCCCACTGACCCTGACCACAGACACTGCAAGATAAAGTCATAACACTGAGTTTACAGAAAAACAAAACTTTGCGACTGAACCGGTAAAGCAGCGTTACCATTTTTTACAGTTGGTTTTAACAGTCTCTCCTGCCCTGAAGACTTTACCACTGTAGACACAGGTGCAGTTGTCCCTTGATACACAGTTTCCATGGTGATCTTCATATTGATCATGAGGACAATAACAGCCACTCTCACAAGTCACACTGGCAACCTGAAAATCACACCAACCTGAAAATTACACCTTTGTGAGGAGCAAACGTGTTTATTCTAATAACTAGTCACCTTTTTTTTTTTTTAAACTAAAGATGAAGCCACATTTACATACAAATGGTAATAATTATAAATATACATACCAGTGGTTTGCTGAGACTGTCGCAAGTTTTCTGAGCTGTGTTAACTGGGTATTCTGAGCAGTGCACGCACACCTTTCTATTCCTGCAGCCTGATGCGAACAAATTCATGTATTAAATATATTTCTGAAAGTTTGATATAATAATATGTTTACTGCCGTGACTCTTGCTCATATAGCAATGTATGTCTAGTACAAAAATATAATATATTTACCACAGTCCTTGGAGCACTGCAGTTCTCCATTCTTACAGTTGCTTTTGAAAACACAACATAAGATTAATAAAACTGGAACCATTGTATTTATCATACACCATCAGTTTCATGCTAATACAAAATGTATTTGATCAATTTGAAATTCCTTAAAAAAATCTTTAATGATCAACTCACCACTGTCGTCCATCGATAACAACAGGCCCTGGTGGCGTTATACCGCCGTGATGATGGCATACACATTCAGTCTTTGGTGTACAGATTTGTCCTTGGTTCAGGTGGGTTCCTTCTGGGCAGCCACAGCCCTCCACGGGAGCGTCTTCCTGCCCACAGCGAGGATCAGGAGCAGACAGGGAGCGGCATGTATGGTTGCAAGCTCGCACATTGTAGGAGAACTCTTGGTTCTTTTCACATGTCAGTGCTGTGACAAAAATATTTTGATTCACATTTAATAATCTGCTTATACAATGCATCCTGCAAAAACAAGGCAGAAACTGCCTACATAAGACTATAAGTCGTGTGCAGTAAAAGGAAAACATATTTGCATTTTTAAATGCTTACAGCAGTTGGTAGCCTTCCTCCAGTCACCAAGTTCAACTCCAAGACTGGCACATGCTTTGGCATAGTTGCCCAGAGCAACACACAAGCACTGGACCAAATTGGTACCACAGTTACAAGTTCTTAGGATGCAAGCCTGTAAAAATATAGTCGAAGAGTGGAGTAGAAATATATGCACCGGGGTAATGAGTCAAACAAAAATGTATGCATCTGTATGATCAACATGTTCGCCTTAAACTGGTTTAATTTTATATGCATAATGCAGGTCTAAGTTTTCAACTTGTTATAAAGTTATAAATCAATATGTCAGCACGAGTTAGCTTCAGCAGTTTCTTCAGATTTGGTTGAGTAGTAAAACAATCTTACCGTATGGAACTGATCAGTTGGGATGTAGCCATGGCACTTTGCAAATATCCCAGCTGGGTTGTTCAAGACCGAACACTTTTCATCAGCAAATATTTCTGCAGAAATACATCAAATGCTAAAATAAGTAATGATTTTGCAAAACAATTTAGTATAAAACAGTTTTCTGTGTGTTAAAGACAAAATATAAAAGCATCTTCTCATCTCTGAATTTATAGGACAGTCTACTTTATATGACTGATTGATACCGTTGTCGGTATTAATGCAGGATGGCGGTATGTTCGCTGTACAACGGCCCACGCTCCAGGACAGCGCAAAAGGTTCAGGTGAGTTCTCGATGATCCTGCTGCTGCTGGTGAAGTCATCTGTGGTGTCCTTGTTGTTGTTGCCACAGAGACCTGAAAGACAGACTTATTATTTTGTCTCAGATTTTTAGGACATTTCCTGCTCGGCAGCCTCCAGTTTGCATAAATACATTTTTATGGTAGAAAATTTGAACATTTATAATGTTTGCTGTGAAAACTGCACTTATTTAACAACTTGTAATTTAAGTGCCATTTCTAGAATTCTGTTATATTTGGGTTTTTGTGGTACGGCTTGAGAATTTAAGTGAAAATAGCATTTTCTTTACTTTTGTGACTGAGAATTAAAAACTATTCTGTATGTCAAAATTTCTGCTGTGAAATCTTTAAACAAATTGGAAGAACTGAGCAGAAGGCTTGGTTGTTTCAAGACAGAATAAAATGCTTGTTAAGCTACAAAAATCACATAAAGTTTAAAGTTTGAACTAGAACATTTTTCTGTTTTACCAATAATTTGACAGTTCATAAAATAAATCATGATAAAAGTAATTCCAGGTTTAGTGTGTATTTGTAGACTAATGTACTAACCTGAAATCGTGCCTGTGTGTTTTCCTGGTGGTGTAATGTAAAGTTGGATTTCAGGAGACACCTGGACTTGGATCTTCATACCAAAGGATGTATGGACTTCAACATACATAGAGGACTGCCAGAAAACCAGGGCATGATCTAAAAAGTGAGAGAAATTAGTAAGAGATTTGGTGTTTATGTATCGAAACCATTCAGTATATATTATGAGGCTAGCAGACTAACTAGCATTCTTTTACCTACCAGACTGATGAAGTTCAGTAATTTCTTGGTCTTCAAATGTAACCATGCTGCGTGTGAATGTGTACATTTCCTGCAAATTCCAAATGATGTGCATAATCAGGCTCATTTTTCCTCACTATTAATTGATTTGATAGTTTGTATAGTGTGTGGGATATATACCTGGAAAATCTGGAGAATGACTATTTGTATAGATGCATGCTTCCCAGAAAATCCAACATTTATTGTCCAGTTTAAGCCCTGCATGTGGTCATGAAAACAACATAGCATCACAATCATGCACAGTTGTCCTAATGTCACATATTTGTGCTGTAGGCTGTGTGTTTACCTGTGAGGCCACATATGTGCATTTACCAGGAACAACATATTTTTTGCCATCGAATGTTGTTACAAATTGCCCTTCAATGTCACATCTGCCTAGGCAGGAATTCTCTGAGCAATTCCATCCTCCACCATCACATATACTAAGGACAAAAGTTTAAAATGTGTTTTAAAAACTTCTAAACACTTTTATGATTCTAAAGTTAAGGGTTTTTATGTATTAAAATTCCAGTATTATTTTATTTTATTTTTTGGCCACTTACCATGCCTGACACTTAGTGTTACGTCTGTCTCCAGTTAAGTAAGTCCTACCAGAGAAGACACAGGGGCAGCTAGGCACACTCACGCAGCGGAAGTCTTCTGCGTGATCATCAAGCACCTTACCTACAATATAATTCAGTAAATTTTTGATGATGAGTTCTGATTAGTTTCATGTGACTTACCAAGGCAAAAAACAAAATACAGTTCATAGTATTCACCCTTTGGACAGACACAAGTGCTGGTGATAGCCTGGCTGGAAAAGCTGGGGTTAGGGTTGGAGCAGCTGGGAATAAATGCATTACCCTCTTCTTTATAAACCAGGTCTCCAGGACACGTCGGCTCAGCTGCATTCATAAAAACAGAAAGGTAAATCCATCATGAAACTAAATGAAATGTCAGTTAGAATTCATCCTTTATCCGTAAAAGCTTAAAAATCCATAAACAAACAACTTTGCGACTACTATTATGAAGCTTTTAACCCTCTTTAAGACTTTAAGAATGATGATAAATGATCACCTACCACATTTGGTTATAGCTCTCCATTTCTGCCACACATAGCTGTTGTTTCCACAGTGCAGGGCAATATCTTTGAAGAAAGCACAGCGAACGTATTTGCTGTTTTCAAAGCTGTAAATGTTCTCTTCACAGAGTTGGATATAAAATGGTGTTTTAACTTGCAGACACTCCAAAGTGTAAGAAAAGAAGTTTCTGCATACCTGCAAATATCATTGGAGGAACATTAACATTTTAAACTAACATCTTTTGTACGGCAACATTTATACAATATGATTATATAACTGATCGATTCCTGAAAACATGAAAACAAAAACAAACGAATAAAGAAAAGTGGATTTAAACTATGAAAATGATTGAAAAAAAAACTATTGTAACATCAGCTTACTTGGTTAGTGACAAAGACAGGATCTCGCGTTTGACACGTTTCCTGGGTAAGCTTGCTCTCTGTTATCAGCTGCTGCTTGTTGCCTGTTTTCACAAATAAAATGTGCATTCAACTTTGAACAAAATATGCAAAAACAAATGTTTTATATTCCTAGAGATTGTATTTATCTTTTTTCATGAAAGTATGATACATAGAAATTTTAGAGCAACATACTGTGCTGGAAGAAACGGATGACAGCAGTTAGGTAGGGTCTTGTGCATGTCAGTAAATTAATACCAAATTACTTTCTGTACCAATTACAACATTGCTGCAGACTGAAACAGCCAGAGTGCTGGCCAGACTAGAGCCCAGAACACTGAACAAACAAGTGAATATGGCAACAAAGGCCCAAAGTTGAGCAACTGAAAACTACTTAAAGCAAGAATGAGAAAGTATTTCACTTTTAGAAGTTTTCTTCTTTTTCTTCTTTTGAAATGGCCTTCCCAAAGACTCAACCTCAATCCGACTGAATATGTCTGGACTATGCTTAAAAGTCCATACCAGGAAACCAGAGACGAGGTTGTATAATGTATGTAAAACTGTCCTAATTTTCCTCTTATTTACATCTAGCATAACCGATACTATATATTAATTATAATTACTATTGAATTAAGGCCTATATTAACCGCTATTTCAATTATTTCTGCTACCACCAACATTACCATACCAGCTTTATTTATAAAGCACTTTAACATAAAACCAGGGTTCACAAAGATCTGTACATATACAAATAGCATAAACAAACAAACAAACAAAGAAATACATAAATAAATAAATAAATAAAATCAAACATGTTAAAATAAATTGAGTCAACCTCTTAAAAGAGTGCTAAAGGCTTCAGCAAATAAATATGTTTTAAGAAGCGTTTTAAACTCAAGGGCATATCATTCCACAACTTTGGAGAAGCTACAGCAAAAGCACGGTCACCTCGAAATTTATACTTAGATTTTGGTACCTTAAGGAGCTGATTGGTGGACCTAAGGGAGCAGGCAGGTGTATATGGCTGTAGTAGCTATGAGAGTTGGGGGAAGGGGGCATTTAGAGATTTAAAAACAAATAAAAGAACTTTAAAAATGATCCTAAAATGTACAGGTAGCCAGTGGAGTGAAATTAAAATGGGGGGTTATGTGCTCAGACTTTTTTGTTTCAGTTAAAAGATGCGCTGCAGCATTTTGCACAACCTGCAGATGCCTAATCACTCATCACTAACCCCACAATAAAGTGCATTACAATAATCTATCCTAGATGTAACAAAGGATTACTGTCTCAAAAAGCTGCTTTATTAAGATGGGCTTTGTTTTGGCTAATTGCCTCAAAGGACAAAAGCTAGATCTTACACAGCTCTGACCTGGCTTTCAAGTTTAAGATCTGTCTCCATTATAACTCCCGGATTAGTGATGATTGGTTTAACATACTGTTCCAGGGAACCAAGATCCGTTTAGTGGTCTCAGAAGTGCCACAAAAAAACCATCACTACTGTTTTATGCTCAATAAAATGCAAAAAGTTCAAAGCCATCCAGGCCCTTATTTCATCAAGACATTTAAGCAAAGGGTCTACGGAGAAACCATTTATCTTTTTAGGAGGGAAATAAATCTGCGAGTCATCGGCATAACAGTGGAAAGAAATCCCATGTTTCCTGAAAATAGAGCCAAGGGGTAGGAGATATAGGGAGAAAAGAAGGAGACCTAAAACTGACCCCTGTGGTATCCCACATTGAAGAGAAGCAGCAGAGGATACAAACTCTCCAAGTTTCAAAGAGAAAGTTCGCTTTGCCAAATAGGATCTGAACCACTGCAGTACAGCACTCATAACACTGCTCCAAACGGGAAATTAACATTTATGATCCACTGTATCAAAACCAGCCGTGAAATCTAAAAGCACGATAATAAACCACAGTCACCTGAGTCAGTTGCTAAAGACAAATCATTAAAAACTCTTAAAAGGGAAGATTCGGTAGTATGTAAAGCTTTAAAACCAGCCTTTTCTTCACTTGTGTACAATATTGTGCTGTTGCTTATGTTATTAGACTTATACTACAGCTATTAGTTGTTAGTTTATTTGTGCTGTAGGTGACATACTTGTTACGTTGTGTTTTCCACACAGTCCAGTCATGTCAGTGCTCAGCTCTTGCTGCAGCTCCACCTGAACAGCAAATCACATAGAAGCTTCAGGAATTCTTCTTAGGGATTTATAGTTTCTGTACATTTGCCTTTGTTTAGGCTTTCATACATTATGTATCCTCTTACCCACAAACTGTCTATTCCTCCAGGTACACTATGCCAGGTGACAGAAAGTGGAAGCAATGAGCTCCTCAGTCTAGTGTAGATGCCGTACTGAAAAATATGCTGGTAGGTGTGATCGTATGGAAGGGAGACACTGTAAGAAAATACACAAGGGACACCTGCTCAGAAATGATCGGAAGTCTCGCTTCTTCAGTTTTGGAAAATAAGTGAAAAACAGGAAATAATAATACAAAACAGCCTTTGCAGAGAGTGAGAGTATCTAGCGAATAGAATATCGTGTGTTTTTTCATTAAACTCAACCACAAAGACAAACACTTAATAATGCACAGTGTCCCAGGGCCAGAGCTAATAATGAACTAGCACTGATGGTAGAAGTGCTGAAATACCTGCGAGCATGATCGGCTTGGTTAGGTGGTTGAGTATGAGTGACATTTGAGTTAATGAACTAAAGTGTCTTTGGACAAAACACTTTGCTGGTGCCTCACATGCTTACGCTAACTGATGTTCTGGAGCCAAAAAATGAGTAATTTAAGATCAGATGTTAAGAAACAAGGATCAGATTGTGTCTCGTGCAAATGATATTAGGTTTCAAAGTCAAGCAGTTTTCTTCAAATGAAGCACTAACTTAGTGGATCCATATTTGAGGACAAACCTTTTCTTCTCCACCAGGATGCTTCCATTCTGCAGAACAGTCCGGACTTTGTTCATTGTGATCTCGACTTGAACCAGCAGCCCGCTGTCTCCTCGCCGTATGGTGATGTCGTATTCCACACGATTGTGGGTGAAGCGGGTGAGAGTGAACGGGCAATTGGACCTCACGTAGTAACCCAGGCCTTTGAAGGGCTGGACGACTCCACTGCCATACGTCCTGCAAGTAACTGATCATGGCAAAGTTAAGTTGCTTACAAATTTATCGTTCAGAGATGGACAAGGGACCAAGTAAAGTAATGAAGACTGTGTAATTACTGTAAAAAGGATTGACTCTCTAAAGTTAAGTTATCAAGCGGCGACACTGACTTATACTCACATTTCTGAGTTTCTTTTGTTGTCACTGATCCACCGGTCCCAAAAACTGAGAGGTAAGGAAAAAAGACAATGTAATAACACTTTAACAACAACATTCAATTACAAGGAAAACTCCTTGTAAATATGAAAATACAGTGCATCATACTGTAGACAGGACAGTATACATCAACATTTTTTCTGTAATGTTTTTCTAAGATAAGAAGGAAAACCATAGTAATGCATGAAATCAATATATAACAAATATTTACACTGCTTTGATTTGTTACTTATTCTGCTTAAAATAATTAATTAATATTCAAAATATATGAATAAATGCATGGTACCTGAGACCAGTAAAAAACAGACAGACAGCATCCGTTGCTGTGGGGTCATTTTCTTCTTTCTGTGCAAGTGCAACCAGGAGGATGTGCCCAACCACCCCACTCCGTCCCTTATATATGCAACGACCATACATACACACACACTGCATGAATCACCACCACCACAGGGATGTGTGAACTAACATGCACACACCTGCTTCTTTACCAGGAAACTAAAAATTTCAAAGAAAATATGGTCATTATGTGTTAACAAGGAAATTAATACACAATGCTGAAAAAACAGCTCATTTAAAGCATGCCATTATTCTATAATATAAGGTTACATCAAGAATTCAACAATTCCCTGTACTGATATATATTCCTGTGGGAAATTGCTAGTGTTGCGTATCAAAGAATTTGGCAAAGGAACCCAAAAAGGAATTGGTTCACAAACAAGCTAAAAAGCAGAAACTTGAGACTTTAGATCTTGTGTTTCCTTGTTGAGCAGGTGCCACAAATTAGAAGTGCACAAATCCGTGGGGGTTTTTTTTTACATTTCCTAAACTGGAAACCGGTAATTTTGTCATGATTCATTCCTTCAGCAAAAAATAAGGTACTTATTACCTTTCCTAAATAATAGCAATATGTCAACTCCATCCTTAATAGGTGAGATATTAAGTATTGCATTATGTACAAAGAGGGATGCCTACTTTTGGCAAACTTCACCAGTGTTGAAGGTCAATACACGACAAACAGAATAGAATGAAAAGTGAGCACTGGTAACTGATGAGAGTGCATGAACCAGGATGTAGTTAATTATTTTTCATTGCTAGATCGGAGGGAAAGCACCACAGAATCACAGAGATGCCCATCAGATCTTGCATCAGATGACCTCAATAGGTCACGTAATAGGGTGAGGCAAGGTCCCACAGTGGTTTTAACCTGATACCTCTAGTGGTAATGACCCACACGTTTTTCACACCTTGGGTCATGTGGACTTAAAGAAGTCTAGTCACTTTCTTATCCCAGCAGGTAGAATGTGAAAGGCAGTGCACACTCTTAAAAGGTTGCCAGTGTTTTGCAGGGATGCAAAACTATTCAGTGGTAAATATATTTTTCTTTTAGTTACTTCCTGTTGTACTTAGTGAGTTAGTTAGAACTGCAGAAGTTGTTTGTTTTGGGGGTTTTTTTTGAATGTGCACTCTTCTCCATTAAGTGCTTTAGCCAAGTTAGCATATGCACAGCATACTCATCACAGGTGGGACCAGGAACACTGACTAGCTTTGTTCCTTTGAAAACCAAACACAGCCACTACGTATTAGACCTGTGCTTTCATGTAATGACAAGTCACAATGCCTCATCTGCACATGATCCTGGAACTTGGTAATCTGGATTTAAATGTATTCTTGATTGCTTATAATTGCTGTTAATAACACCTCTGCTGTTTGCAGGTACCCAGGCCACTTGGCTTAAAAGGTTCAAAATACTACGGTCTCTTTCCTGTTTTACTCTTTTTGAAAATTCTTCACACAAAGACTGGGGATAGAGTTCTCTTCATTCTTTCCTTTTGTTCCTGTAATTCTATAACTTTACTTGAGCTAGCCTATCCATTCTAGTGCAAATACCATATACAGTGGTGTGAAAAAGTGTTTGCCCCCTTCCTGATTTCTATATTCTTTGCATGTTTGTCACACTTAAATGTTTCAGATCATCAAACAGAATTAAATAGTAGACAAAAATAATACAAGTAAGCACAAAATGTAGTTTGTAAATGAAGGTGTTTATTACTAAAAGGAGAAAGACCCGATAACTGACACAGCTGGTCTCAGTCAAGAAATCTCTTAAACACGACCTGCCTGACAAAGTGGAATAGATCAAAAGATCCTCAAAAGCCAGACATCAAGCAATGAAAATTCAGTAGCACTGAATCTTAACGTGGCTGAGTGAATGTACTGAAACCAGCTTGGACTTTCCCACCAACTGAGTTCAGCGAAAGTGGGAAACAGCATCTCCAGTTCCATCTCCCTGTTCATCAGCTTCCCTCAGGGCTGTGTCCTGAGCCCACTGCTGTTCACGTTGCTGACACGTGCATCACATCATCAGATGACATAACAGTGGGACAATAACGACCTGTCCTACAGAGAGGAGGTGAATTAATTGGTGGACTGGTGCAGTGTTATGAATCTGTTCCTGAATGCCGAGAAGACCAAGTCCTCACCATCAGACCTGAACTCTTCAAAACACAGCGCTAGATGTGTGAAAAAATTACTGTTTTTTCCATATAGGTTTGATTTTTTTTTCACTTTCATGATAAGCACATTTATTTAGAAAATGCATTTTGTGTTTATTTGTGTTATCTTTGTCAAACACCTTTTTACTCTTTGCTGTTTGTATTTTTGATCTCACCAGTTAAACTTTTTAATTAAGACTTGGTCAAAGAAGGAAATTTCTCAATTATACTAAATAAATAAATAAATACCCAGAGAAAAGATACTTTAAATCAGGACATGTGTCTCCATTTTCTGCTGCCACCTGAGGCTTGGCAATGTGACAGCCCATCGCGATTTGTCATCTGCATTTCTTGCTGCTGGAAGCAAACAGTGCACTGGTTAGATCAAATGGAAACACAGTGAAGAAAGAGGAGAAGCAGAGTTGTAAATAATGAAAGGAAGGTGCACAACTCAGGGTACTCGTTTGTGCACATCTTAATCTAATATTTTCTCCTTAATAACCATTACCAAAACAAATCATTCTGGTATTTAAATAATAAGATTGATGGTGTTGAGTAGGGTTTGTTTTCATGGCTTCTTTGTCTCCATTCTTAAGTCATTATGACACGTTACAATGTGTAGGGTTTTGTCCATATAATATTAAATTGCTTAGCTAATTATAGGCCAATCTCCAACCTTCCTTTCATGTCAAAAATTATAGAAAGAGTAGTTGTCAAACAGATTGTCTGCAGAGAAATATTTCAGTCAGGTTTCAGAGCTCATCAAAGTACAGATTTAGTGAAGGTTACAAATGATCTTCTTGTGGCCTCTGACTGTGCTTGTCCTGTTAGACCTCAGTGCACCTTTCAATGCTGTTGACCATAAAATTCTATTAGAATGGTTAGAGGATTACAGGTACTGCGCTGCAGTGGTTTGTATCATATCTATCTAATACAGAGGTTCCCAAAGTGTGGGGCCCACTGAGCCATTGCAGGGGGGGAGCAGCGCTTGGACACTGCTAGCATAATTGACAGGTTTTTGACGGGGCTCCCACGCAAACGCAAAGCAGGAGATGAAGCATCGCCAAATATGTTTCTAAACCAACTTCATTTCAAAGCCAAAGACTAGAAAATATGGTGAAGCATGTCTTCCCTTTGGCTTCACCTCATCAGAAGACATAGCATACATTTTCACTGCTATGCTGATGACACCCAACTCTATCTATCCATGAAGCCAGATAACACACACCAATTAGTTCAACTGCAGGCCTACTTGTTGTTCCTAGAGTATTTAAAAGTAGAATGGGAGGCAGAGCCTTCAGTTTTCAGGCCCCTCTTCTGTGGAACCAGCTTCCAGTTTGGATTCAGGAGACAGACACTATCTCTACTTTTAAGATGTGGCTTAAAACTTTCCTTTTTCCTAAAGCATATAGTTAGGGCTGGATCAGGTGACCCTGAATCCTCCCTTAGTTATGCTGCAATAGGTGTAGGCTGCCGGGGGATTCCCATGATGCATTGAGTATTTCTTCTTCAGTCACCTTTCTCACTCATCGCATAGACCTCTCTGCACTGAATCATATCTGTTATTAACCTCTGTCTCTCTTCCACAGCATGTCTTTTATCCTGTCCTCCTTCTCTCATCCCAACCAGTCGCAGCAGATGGCCCCGCCCCTCCCTGAGCCTGGTTCTGCCGGAGGTTTCTTCCTGTTAAAAGGGAGTTTTTCCTTCCCGATGTCGCCAAAGTGCTTGCTCATAGGGGGTCATACGATTGTTGGGTTTTTCTCTGTATGTATTATTTTGGGGTCTACTGTTCTTGTGATTTGGTGCTGAATTCAAAATTGGTATTACTTATGGTGCTTCTTTTGAGTTTCCGATTAGTCATGCTAATTATTTTAACTTTCAGAGAAAATGTGCTCATTAAATATTCTTTCACTAGAAGGTAATTGGTTAATTTGATATGATGTAGCCTAACTATTCTATAAAGTGGCATCATCTATGGCAGGGGTCAGCAACCTAATTCAGCTCTGAGATTAATTGAGCCTCAAGGCTCAATTAGCTGGGGACAAAAAGGTAAATTCCCTAAAAGACACATTTCTTGGTTTGTTCTATGTAACTATTGTATATGCATAGAAACCCTGTCTCATTATTGATCTTCTTCTGTAATCGGTTCAATCACAAGTCATTTTCAGGCCATGTTAATTCTTCAGGGACACCGTTGTCCATGTATTGATCCTCTGAACTCATGAATGCTTTAACTGCTATGCCATTCTGTACACTGCAGCTATGTTTCATCAGTGGTGAAGGACAATTATAGGGTTTGAGTGTATGGAGAAGATAAACTGGTTGGTATGGGTCACTGATAAACCTTTTTTTTTAGCTTCAAGCAGACAGATTATGACACATGTATTGCCAAAATAGATTAATTTAGATCAATCAAATAGTTTTTAAACAACAATCAACATTTAAAGTGAATCAGAAATTGTGCAAATGTAAATATTTTAATAGTTACAGAGTTGATTCATTAAAAATCAGCTGATCCTACTTAATTTCAAGAGCACTGAAATATACTCTGCTTGCTTTGTGGCGGTGTTAAAGCTAATAAGCAGAACAGATACTATAATCCATAAAAGTGGATAGCAGCTGACGTGTACAACATCATTGTACGACTGTCTGCGCTTGGAGTTCTTCCACCTGTAATACAAAGCTGCTGCCAGTAGGGGGAAGCCGTTTTCCAGTTTTGCCAGAGGCAGCCTGTCGTAAGAGTAAAACGTGTTGAAAATGTTTAAAGCAACAACATTCCGGTTTTTATATCTTTTAGTTAACAAAGGTTTTTCTTATTTTTATGATTTTATGCTTTAGCCCCACAAAAAAGTGTTTTTTCACGAGGCTTAATCATCAAATGAAATTATACAGCAGACATTTACACATCTTTGATGTGGATTAACGAGCATATTAATCCGCCTGATTTGGTCAGTTAACAACTGCAGACCGCATATTCCCCATAAAAGATGGTGCTGATAAGTCTTCGCTCCACGCTTCCAAAACAACATTTCTTTGCGTCACGCCGACGCTGGTAGTGACGATGTGATCCACTACACTCCTCCTATCTCACCTTTCCTACCCTACTCTTCTCCAACTCTCCCATCAGGACCACAGGGATGTCATGCGCGGATAAACAAGGCTGGAGCACAACTTTACTCAGCAGCGGGCTTCTTTTTTTTATTTGGAAGTGTCTTAGGACAGTCAGCGTGACTTTAAGTCTAAGCTGAGTGTAGTGGGGGGGTAGGCCTGTTAGTTGGGTGGGCGTGTGTGTTTGTTTTGTTGTCAGACGCTTCAAATACAACTCAGCAGCCCTGTCCTGTGTTGTAGTTCCCATATGTCGCGAAGGCAGGCCGACCATGACTACAACCTCCGGAGTATGAACAACCTGATGGGCGAGAGGTGGAAGAAAGTGAACGACGGAGGTGAGCGCAGTCTCATCAAGGCTCCGTCCAACGCCAGCATCAGCAGCCAGGGCGCCTCCACTGGAGCTTCCGCCGCCGCTGGTGCCCCATCAGCCCCCTCCTCCTCGTCCACTGGAGACCTGGAGAGAGCTGCCCGCAAGCAGTTTCAGCAGGATGTTACACCTGGTTTCGTCTACGTCCTGGCCATCTTCTCCGCCCTGGGGGGCTTCCTTTTCGGCTATGACACCGGGGTGATCTCCGGGGCGATGCTCCTATTGAAGCGGGAGCTGGACCTGAGCGCCCTGTGGCAGGAGGTGCTCATATCAAGTACTGTGGCCGCAGCCGCCCTCTCCGCCCTGCTGGGCGGCTTTCTCAACGGGGTGTTCGGGCGCAGAGTGTGCATACTGCTCGCCAGCTTCTTCTTCGCCGTCGGGGGGATCGTCCTTAGCAGCGCTCCCGGTAAAGAGGTGCTCCTGGCGGGTAGGCTCATCGTTGGATTGGGGCTCGGTAGGTTTCAGGGGCGTTTTCAGGTTTTTGAAATAAGGGGGCGCAAAAGGGGTGGGTGGGGTCTCAGAAATTTCAATAAAAAAAATTCTGAATTAAGAAAATTAAAAAAAAAAATGTGGAGGGAATGGAGCTAACAAAATCAGTGTAGATACGGATATAAATCAATTTCATTCTACCAAGTAGCAAAACTATAGATGTCGAACATACTTTGTTCTAAGTTCAACTTTGATAAGTAAAGCACCTGAGTAACTGTAAGCCATTATATTTCTTTTAAGTCTCCTTGTAGTCGGCTACCTAGAGTTCATGTATAGTTTGTGCCTTGTAGTGGAGATTTTCCACGGTGTCACAAAAAAACTGGCAGACACACGGACAGCCATGGACCCTTAAAGCCATTAAATATTTACCTCGTGAACAGCACCATACTACAAAATTGACATCATGGGCGTTATTGGTAGCTAGCTGCTTTTCTGCAGGTGGTGCACCTCTGGGTTTTTGTAACCTGGCGTGCCGTGCCGCCGCCACCACAGCTGGGTTGAAGACACGAGTGTTGGGTTTAATAGCTCCTTTTACAGAATTCCTGAAAAAGTTTTGATTTCTCCTTCTGCATCATGGCTGATGTGGCAGTATTGCCTGAGTGGCGACGCCTATGATTAAGGAGAATATTGCAGCGGCTACCTGAGCCATAACAGTGAGCATAAATGAATTTGACTGTGTGAAAATGATACTACCGGCATTGTACAAAGCCACCAACACACCAGGGCCTTCACACTCACTGCCTGGTGATCAGTATTCATTTTGACAGCAAGTTTTCTGATTGCATCTCGTCTCTCCACAATATTTACCTTTAAAAGATTTTGTCTTGTATTTGGAAGGATCATCATTCCACTTTATAATATTATCTAATATTGAATATTCGTATTTATATACCATGAGGAGAAAAGCCCTGCTCCTAATTAACACCCTGAGCATGCTCCCAGAGTCTTTGTTTAAGAAAAGTTTTTTTTACCAGTCCAGAGCAAGAAACAAAGCCAACTGTAGCTTTAGACAAATTGCTATTCCAATGAAATTACTTCAGCCTGCCCGGCGCTAATGATAATGTGATTTATTGATTTCTTCTTCAACACTTCCCCTCGCTCGCTCGCCATTAGAAAGAACAGAGGTGGCACTCGGCTTAAATGCCCCTTGAAGTCAAAGATCTTAAAGCTTTTGGTGGTTTTGGTGATGCATTGCTGCTGTAGCTCCTCCTCCCCCACCACAGGCCTGAGGTTTGCAATTACTCGCAGCGTCTAATTACGCAGCGTGGCCCTCTGCTTCCTTTATCTGCATGCCACTGGCTGTTAGACAATTTGCAGTCCCCATTATCATCATCATCGTTCTCATTATTAGATTTGGTTGGGTATCATTAGGTGATAAAGGGGAAACTCATTCTGAATGATAAATATCACCCCATCAAAGGAAGCCCAGATAAACCTACAAAGCACACAGGAGACACATAGTGCCTCTGATTTTGCCTTTATTATTGAGTTGCACTCGTCTTATTGGCTGCCTCGTCCCTGCTTCCTTCCCTGCAGCCCACCTTTGCACATTGCCTTTCTCCTACTTCCTTCCGTGCATGAATATTTTTGCATTCTGAGCTTTCTCCCCTCTTGAATCATCCATCTCTCTGCGTGGTCTTCCTTCCACTCTGCGTGCCTTTCCACGCAACGCTTCTTTTGATCACAATTCAATATGCCTCACATTATTTATAGCAGCTGCTGTTACTCATGAGTCGCATCTCTGCTGTTAAAAGTGGCTTTCAAGGCTCGGTACTCGCCCATCACCTCTTTTGAGACCAGTAAGCGCTCCTTTCAGTGATACATGGAGGACTTGCACACCATTTTTATCATCTTCGGTCAGGGATCCTTACTAAGCTCTACCCGCCTTAAAGAGCTCGGTGTGTACCCCTTTAACAAACTAAAGTCGTTTATTAATTTGCTCCCCTTTTCCTGCATTTCTTTTGCTTCCTGTGAGAAGCAACTCGAACTTGGATTCTTTTTGTGTGATTAAAGACCAGTCGTACTCCAATTTGCATGTTTGTCTGGCACTGGAAATGGGCAGATGATGACAGCTTCTTGGTTAAATTTGCACTACTGTAAGTGGAATGATGTAAGACAATTTTATAATGAATGAATGGAAGTTTTAAAGGTTATGCTGGAAACCCTTGTATTTATTTCAGATTTACATTTTTGCAATACATGCATGTTTAGGCTCTTTTCCAATGAACTGCTCTCATTGATAACAGTCTACCCAACTTAAAGTGTGAATCTTCTGAAACAAGGTGCCACCAGCAGCATTATAGTGCAATAATAGTGACACAGCAATATAATAAGTGACTGAGCATAAGGGAAATATATATATATATATATATATACATATATATGTGTGTTAGGGGGTGCAACGATATTCGTATCGATATTGAACCGTTCGATACAGTGCTTTCGGTTCGGTACGCATATGTATCGAACAATACAACATTTGTAATTTATTTTATCAACTTTCCTTCTGACGATGCTGTCTGTGTTGAGCGCTCAGTGAATCTGCGTTCGACTACTCCGCCTAGGCTGCACTGTCGAGCGCAGATCCACTGAGCGCTCAACACAGACAGCATCGTCAGAAGGAAGAGCGCAGGGCACCTCCCCCACCCTCATTCAGATCTGGCGTTTGGAATTATTTTGGTTTTCATGTGACGTATGACCCTGAAGGTAAGCGAGTCATGGACTAAAGTAAAACAGTATGTTGGATGTGCCATGCAATGCTCAATTACATGGGTGGGAACTAGTGTGTTAGCGCAGTTAGCTCGTTAACGTGTTGGCCGTCTAGCCCCACGCACGGGGCGATCGGCGGTAGCTCGTTAACGGAGATTTTCCGTGTTGTGGTGTTAAAGTCATTTCAACGAGATTAACCTGAAAGCACTAGTGGGAACACAACGAATATGACTGCACATTTACGCCGACATCATCCTAGTGCAAAGACAAAAACAACAAGCATGCTACTAACTTTAGCCGAGTCATTTAGACAGCTGTTAGCACATGATTCTCCTTATGCTGCTGAGAATATAGCCCAGAAGAAGCGGATAGTATAGCTTTTATTTTGGAAAGAGACATTTCTCTGTAATAAACTCTCTTTTCCAAAGATGCATGATTCCTCAATCAGATACAGGGCTTGCAATATCGCTAGCCTGACGTCCTGGGGCTAGCGATTTTTTCAGTTGGGCTACCCTGCCCGTCGGGCTATTGTAGGAAGGAAAAATATATGTCAATGCTTTTGCATTCTTTCAGAAATGTAGCTGGGTAATTATGTCATTGGCATCGGTGAGCCACTGTCAATATGTGACATATTGAAATCGTGTTTGGATTTGCGCTTGTTTTTTTGCTTTCACTTTGCAATCGTGCGAACTGTGTATAGAGAGCGACAGCACTGATCTGTGAGTGATGATAATTTGCGCACCAATTCCTCTGACATCGTCTTATTAATCGTTAGCTTACTATGCAAACATGACAAGTGAAATCTCTTGTGTTGCTATAGCCATGATATCCTGATAAGATACTTTCATATCGTGCAAACATTTATAATGATATTATTGTGGACAATATGATGTAGCACAGCCCTAGTTTGTAAAGCTATAATGTGTATGTAAAGGTGGATGGAACGTGTTGGTCTGAAAAGTAAAGACCAATCCTGAATTTATTTTTATTGTCCATCAGGGGGCGACTACTCTGATCAGTGTAATCGGGATAGGCTTTAGCACAAGCCTACCTAGAGATATCGCTGTCTTATCTGTATACAGTGTCTTTGGCTTTGCTGTCAGATCCTGTCAGATGGATCACTGTCCATTACCTATGTGTATTAGGGATGGGATAATACATTGATATGCCAATATACAGTATTGTATCACAATTATCAAGAACTGGTACTAAGTAATAATACATTTTTGCTTTTATTCTCTTTAGAGTTATTTTTTGCGTTCAATGAAACATATATAATGATTTGACACAGGTGATTGTCTTGCAACATATTGTTTCGCAGGTATCATGATACCATGGGTATAGTGATGTTAACTTAACATTAGTACGATGCTGTATTGTATTTGATATCTCGCAGCTGACTGAAACGTTTGTCCTACAGTGGCCACTAGGGCTGCACGATTTTGCATAAAATGAGAATCACGATTTTTTTTGCTTAGAATTGAGATCACGATTCTCTCACGATTTTCTTTTCCAATATAAATATTTATTGCACTTATTAACTGCACATCAACTTCGTAACAGTTGAGACTGAACATAAAAACAATAAATAAACATAAAAACAACAAAAGTCTCACATTTTGTCGGTGCTGCAAAATGTGTTACTGCTTGAAATTCCGTCTCCACCGTTGCTCGACACTGCGTGTATAGAGCAGTTAGTGCAACAATAGAAAAATAGTTGCAGGACGGCACTGTGTAGCGTTTGTCTAGGGTGTAGATAATTTTCCTAAATCCCTCGTTTTGCACAGTGTTGATGGGAGCCATATCTTTGGTCAGGTGATAAGTAATAGCCTCTGTGCCTTTGTGCCTGCGGGAGTTCGACGGGTATAGCGAAGCGCTGTATAAGGTTCCCGTTATTGATGTTTGGGTGGTTGACCTGGACGGATTTTCTCCTGTCACTTTCACTTTTGAATTTTTTTGTAAATGTCACTTTCCACAAGAGGTTTTTTTTAATTCTTTTTTTCTCGTCATTTATTTAGACTGCTTACGGGGAACTTTACACAAACAAACCTGACACTTGATAGAGAAAGGGTTTCTTTAATGGCAGCAAATAGCTGCCGCTTTGTCTGATTAAAATAAATTGAATGTGTACTTCTAATTAGCTAGCATGGTAAATTAGACAGGTGGCTCTGATGATCTAATTACATACACAGTGTGAAAGTGTTGAGAAAACTCTTCAGTCTCAGTCGTTGTGCCCTGTCGAACCTCCATCCACCC